CCCCCCGTGGCGGCAGCAGGAGCCCGAGGCCAGCCTCCCTGCCTGGTCTGGCTGGTGACTGCAGCTGCCACAGGGGATGGAGCATCTTCCCCAGGCAAGGGAAGGGTCTGGGGTCAGGCTCCTGCTGAGGGACTCAGTGGGGTCCCACAAGCACCCCAAGTGTGGTGCATACAGGAGAACAGCACAGTGCTCTGCTCTTCCCTCTGCTCACACCAGCTAGAGGAGCCAAGGGAATTGGAATACAGGACTCAGAGGATGAGGTGCTGGGCGAAGCGGTCAGCCCGGGGGCAGGTGCCCTCAGTGCTCTGGGGAGCCAGCTGCCAGGCAAGGCCAGCCACGAGTGCCAGCCTGCTCCACCAGCAGCACCAGAGCTGTGCCAGCAGGGCTCAGCCCGTGCCTGCCCCCCAAGGTGCCAACAGCACCCCAGCCTAACAAGCACCAAGCAGCTGGGCCAGCCTGGGGCACCTCCTCGTGCTGGCTCATGGGAATGGTGGAACAGGACAGCCCAGTAGCTTCATCTCAGCTCCGTGGCAGTGGCACACACATCCCCCCTGCAGGGCAGCACACGTCTGGGATGTGCAGAGAGTCAAGGCACTTGTGGTGGCACCGCAGGTCTCACCTCACAGCCAGTGCCCTGACCAGGAGAACCAGCCTCAGGTGCAGAGCAGGAAGGAACCCTGAGCCCATGCTCACCTCCCCAAACGAGCACCAGCTCCACCATCCCAGCAGCCTCAGCTGCCCTCCGGGAATGCTGGGCAGGCAGCAGGCAGGGAGCAGGGCTGGCTCCAGCCACCAGGAGCTATGACAGGAGACATGACGCCATCCCTTATCTCTGCAGGGGGGAAGGGAGGGGGCAAATTGCATCCTCAGGCTCAGGTGCACCAGTGCTGGTAAAAGCTAATTTCGATGCAGAAGATTCCCTTTACATTTGTCATTATTATTCATGCCACTGTCAGGCTAAAAACAGCGAGTTAACCCTTTGGAGGAGCGACCACAGTGGATGTTTTGAGGAGGAGGAATAATGCAGGCTTCCTGCTGGAGGAGTGATCCCGTGGTGGTTCAGCCCTGGAGATGCTCAAGAGGAAGCTGGGGCAGGTTTCCTCCTGTGCAATCACACTCGCTCTGAGCTGGGGCAGGGGGGCAGCATGTGGGGACAGAGTGGTCAGGCACAGTGGGGACATTCCACCAGGAGACCCTCCAAGTGCTCCTGGTGACAGGACTTGACCATCAACAGGCATATTACCCCACCTGCATCCTTTGCCACAAGCAGCAACCCTCACACACAGCTCTGAGTCTATCCCCTGGGGCCAGGTCTGCTCCTGGCAGGTGGCATCACCAGTGCCCACGCCATGGGGAGTCCCACAGTCCTCACACAGGGGCCCTGCAGGCTCTGACCCAGGGTCAGCCCTTCCCTCCCTAAGCCCTGCCTTGCTGCACAAGCTGACACTCTCATCCCCCCTGTACAGTTCTCCAAGGAGAAATACATCCTTGACTCATCGCCAGAGAAGCTTCACAAGGAGCTGGAAGAGGAGCTGAAGCTGAGCAGCACTGACCTGCGCAGCCACGCTTGGTACCACGGCCGCATCCCCCGGGAGGTAAGGAAGGGAAGGTGGGTGCCTCTGGGCGCCTTTTGCTTGGGCTGCTCAGGGAGAGCTCCCCGAGGCCACCCAGAACCAGCTCAGTTGGTGGGAAGCCTCTGAGCAAGGGCTTCATTAGCTCTGAGCCTGGTTTTGCCCTGGGGGGAAAGAAAAACACAACCACCCACCCACCTTCTGTGGCTCAGAGCCAGAGCAACAGATTAACACCCAGGCAGAGCATCCACCCGTGCCCCCTGGGCCATCCAGGCTGTCCCCTGAGCCACTGCCCTGTCCCCTGCCAGGTGTCTGAGAGCCTGGTGCAGAGGAACGGGGACTTCCTGATCCGCGACTCGCTGACCAGCCTGGGCGACTACGTGCTGACCTGCCGCTGGCGCAACGAGCCCCTGCACTTCAAGATCAACAAGGTGACGGTCAAGTCCAGCGAGGGCCACACCCGCGTCCAGTACCTCTTCGAGCAGGAGAGCTTTGACAACGTCCCTGCCCTCGTCCGCTTCTACGTGGGCAACCGCAGGGCCATCTCCGAGCAGAGCGGGGCCGTCGTCTACTGCCCCATCAACCGCACCTTCCCCCTGCGCTACCTGGAGGCCAGTTATGGGCTGGGCAATGGCAAGCACGGGGGTCCCCACAGCCCCACCGCCCAGAAAGGGGGGCACATCAAGAGGAGGAGCATCACCATGACGGATGGGCTCACAGCAGACAAGATCACCAGGGCCGAGGGCTGCCCCACCAGGTGAGCAGGTGGCCTCGTCACACTCGGGTCCCTGCTTCTCCGGGGCAGGGCAGGGGTTTGGGGATGGGAACTGTCCCTGCTTGGGTGCAGGGAGAGACCAGAGGTCTGTGGGAGGAACCAGTACCCAGCTGGAGCTGAGGTTTTCCCCCAGCCACACTGAGCTACCACAGCAGATCACTTCGGCATCGCAGGCCAGAAGCCAGAAAGTGTTTTATAATCAACCCAGTCCAGGATTACCAGCATGTCAGGGCTTGTCAGAGCCAGAGACCTGAGCTCTCCCAGGCACACACAAGCAGAGAGTCAGTCCCATCCACCAACAGCACCTCCCCCTGTGCTCAGGTCCCCCAGACACAGCATCTTTTGCAACACTTTTATCACAGGGTTTGCATCAGGCCACAGCTTCTGTCCCACCAGCCTGAGACCTCCTTGCTTGCTGTGGAGCCCCTTGAGCACACAGAGTACAGCTCACCAACCTAGGCACCTGCTGGGCTCCAAGTCCAGCTTCCAGGCATTTTTCACCCCTCTTTAAGCTTTGGGTCAGGGTAACAGCTCACCCATCCATCCTGACCCAGCTCTCATGCAGACACAGAGTAAAACACCCAGCATACAATACCACCTTGCAGCACAACCCTAGAAGACAACCCCCCATAACTTCTTTGCCAGAGCCACTTCCCCAGACCCACCCCATGTACCTTGGCATCAGAATATTCCCCTTCTCCTCTCCATGCAACTAAGGTCCTTCAAGGCAGGTCTGCCTCTGCTTTATATAGGTCCTGACCCCCTCCCTCCCAGCAGGCACCACCCACTCCTTGCTCCAGCTGAGCTCGTTACAGGTTCAGCTCGTTATGGGCAGTTGTGAAAGAAGATGACATGAGGGGAGGTGATGGGGCAACAAACCCTCATCCCATCCCCTCTGCCCTTGCCTGGGCCCTGCTTGCAGGGACTAACGTGCCCCATCTGCCCCCTCCCCAGCGTGTCCCTGCCCCACCACAGGGACATCATCCGCAACTGTGCCGTCAGCGTGGACCAGATCCAAGACCTGCACTCCCCCATGTCCCCCATCTCTGAGAACCCAACGTCACCTGCCTACAGCACAGGTAGGCATTGCCCCTCCATCCCCCTGGGGACGTGGGTCAGGCTGGGTTTGGCACGGGGGTGATGCAGGGACCTGGGGAGGGGGAAGGAGCTGGCTGTAGAGACAAGCCCCCGCATGACTCCCTGCTACTGAAACCCCAAGGAAACTGTCCTGGCAGAGGCGTGAGCTGAGGAAGGGACCTGGGTCGGTCCCAGCCACATCATTCAGCTCTCCTGGGACCAGCTGAGTCCATCTGGGCAGCAGGGATTTCCCCCGAGCTCCCCATCCCCGTGCTGCTGCACCCCTGCTCCCTGTGCCTGTCCCCACGCTCTGCTCACAGGGTCCCCTCTGCTCCCCGCAGTGACGCGGCTAAAGCCACACGCCTGCCAAGTGGCCACGGCTGCCCCGGCCTCACTGGTCATCAGGAGGTCCAGCGAGCCCCAGCTGAACAACAGCAAAGCTCTGCCAGACCCTGCCCACAGCACCCACTCCACCCCCTGCCACGGGTACGCCCGGGCCTCTCCCTCTCCCTCCGTGAACAGCTACAGCGACCCCGATACCGGGCACTACTGCCAGCTCCACCCCACCTCACCCGCCAGCAGAGACCGGCCAGCTCATGACACCAAACAGCTGCCAACAAAGAGCTACGTGGAGAGGCTAAAGGTGGAGGAAGGACAAAGAGGGACTGTGGATAATGGCTCCGGGGAAGCAGAGGCAGGGCAAAGGCTGAAAGGAGAGCTGGACTTCATGGGCTTTGTGCCCCCCACCATGGAGACAACCTCCTCCTTCAACCCCGCCGCCTTCCAGTCCCTGCTTATTCCCTTGGAGAACAAGCCCCTGGAGATGGCCGTGCTCAAGAAGGTCAAAGAGCTGCTGGCAGAGGTGGATGTGAAGACTCTGGCCAAACACATCACCAAAGTGGACTGCCTGGTACGGCCGGGGCCAGGCGGGAGGGATGGGCACTGCTGCCCTGGGACTGCCCTGGGTTGGGGATTGGAGCATCCCGGAGTGTTGGAGCATCCCTGCTGGGCTCTGCCAGGCTGGAGCAGCCAGGGCAGCCAGAGGCTGGGG